ATAGGAAAGTATTGGTTTGGAAATAGGGTAGTTGAAGAGTGGAACAGTCTACCTAGTTGGGTTATCGAGGTTAAAACCTTGGGTAGTTTCCAATTTAGGTTGGATAAATACACGAGTCCTAGGTAGTAGGTTGGTAAACAGCAACCGCCCAGGGAGGTACTACTGCCCTACCAAGTGAGTGTACAACAAAAACCTGTAATTGTTTTACATGATGGTAGGATTGCTGGTGTCTTGTCTGTCTCATAAACATGCAAGATTTCAGGTATGTCTTGCTACTTCTACTTGCACTTAGGTCACACTACACATACATGTATAAGCATATATATACACACCCCTCTAGGTATTCTTCTATTTTCTTTCTAGTTCTTGTTCTTGTTTATTTCCTCTTATCTCCATGGGGAAGTGGAACAGAATTCTTCCTCCGTAAGCCATGCGTGTTGTAAGAGGTGACTAAAATGCCAGGAGCAAGGGGCTAGTAGCCCCTTCTCCCGTATAAATTACTAAATTTAAGAGAAACTTTCGTTTTTCTTTTTTGGCCATCCTGCCTAGGTGGGATATGGCTGGTGTGTTGAAAGAAAAGAAATACATGAGTGAAGGGTTGGATTTGAGTGAGACTTGCATATGAGAGTGGATAGTTTTTTTTTTTTTTTCAACAAGTGGGCACTCTCCCACCGAGGCAGGGTGACCCAAAAAGAAAGAAAATCCCCAGGGCGGAATCTTTGGTGTCACTCGGGGTGGAATCTTTGATGTCACCTGGGGTGGCATCTTTGGTGTCACCCCCATGAAATCCAAGGGTGGGGAGATAGGGGGTAGTAAACTCCAGTTACATCACTGCTGCATGCCAAGTGACTAATGTTTAGCAATGAGAACATTTAAAGGCCATAAACCAAACTTTATTAATGATAAAATAAATAATCATAGCAATATTGAGGAAACAAACTCAAATACCACTTTAAGTATAGGCAACAGATCCTACATTTATTCATCTTCAACAATAAAAAAAAAAACTTGAACTGCAGACCATACCAAGTTGTGGGTGGTATTGCAATCTATTACTCTAACCAACTATCTTGTATTAGCACCACTTGCTTTAGTGATGAATATGGGGAATACTTTTTGCTAATTTTACTGTAAAAAAACCTTAAGACACCTATAACAATCGGTGCCATTTGCAGGATACCCCACACAAACATCCCAAATTTCAGTGAGAAATTAAAGGCACTAATAACTAACAGACAAATTAACAAGCACCACCTTCTCTTAGCTGGAGACTTCAATATCAACCCTGGCCTACTATATGATCAGCCTGTAACTAATTTCATCAACAATATGAACAACACACTTCTCATACCAACATTAACTAAACCAACCAGGCTCACTGAGACAAGTGCAACCATAATAGACCACATATGGACCAATATACTAGCCCCCCTTAAATCAGGGATAATCACAGATAGCACTACAGACCACTACCCTACCTTCCTCTTAACAAACATTAGTAAACCACCACTGGAATACAACAAAGTTTCATTTAGACTCCATGACGAGGCCTCAATAAGGAAGTTCACAGCAGACCTAGAGACTGTTGACTGGCCTACAGAATTCTCCAAGGCCAATGGTACTGACGATTGGACAAGCATTTTTCTTAACAAATTACTTAGACTATACAACAAACATTGTCCTATTAAAATGAAACAGATCACGAATAAACGGTTTGGTTGCCCATGGCTAACCAGCAGCATTCTGAAATCCATTGATAAGAAACACCAATATGAAAAGCAATACAGACAGGGCTTAATACATAAATATATTCTTAAACACTAGTCATCAGTTCTCACCAAAGTAATAAAGAAAGCCAAACAGCTGTACTACTCCAGCAGATTCACTAACACAAGAGGAGACATAAGAAAGACCTGGAAAACACACTCAGATTCTGGGCACCCACAAACTGAAAAAAAAAAACATGAATATTGTCCTAACTAAACCTTATGAAACACCACTGCATCCCACTGAAACAGCTAACAAGATAAACGACTTCTTCTCAACCATAGGATCTAATCTTGCCAGTAAAATCCCATGTACCAACACCCATCCCAGGGACTATCTAGATGGGAATTTCCCAAATTCCTTCTATCTTGTTCCAACTGAACCCACCGAAGTCACTGAGATTATAAAGTCACTTAAAAATAACTCGGGGAACCTGTCTCATGTCCCACCATTATTGTACAAGCGAGCGGCCCATGTCCTTTCGCATGCTATTTCATTACCTTTTAACAAGTCACTAGAAACTAGCAAATTCCCAAAACTACTCAAGACAGCAAGGGCTATACCAATACATAAAAGTGGTGACCCTACAGATGTAAACAACTATAGGCCAATATCAAACTTACCACTGCTATCCAAAATCTTCGAGAAACTCGTGAACAGGAGACTGTATTCATTTATAACAGCACAAAACATACTCAACCCCTGCCAATTTGCAATCAGGAAAAATAAAAGCACTAATGATGCAATTGTAAAAATGCTAGATCTGCTTTACACAGCAATGGAAAATAAGGAATATCCGCTAGGAATTTTTATTGACCTAAGAAAAGCTTTTGACACAGCAGACCATGACACCCTATCCAAAAACTTGAATTAGGGGTATAAGAGGCCTGCTTTGCATATTTTAAAACCACTTACAAAAGGGTATCATATGTCCTTAAAGACACAGCTCATAAAAAACGGCACTTATACTGGAGTTCGGGGGAAAGTGCCCTTGGACCCGGCTCTTCCTCATTTACACAATGATCTTCCCAAAAGTACCCCCCAAAACCTAAACCCATTCTTTTGCTGACAAAAACAACTTATGTCATCTCTCACCCTAATCTTTCCACCCTCAAAACCATTGTTAAGAGGGGCTGCTCAAAATATCAACTTGGGTGACAGCCAAAAAACTTTCACTTTAAAACTGACAAAACCTACACATGGAATTATGTTTGGTAGCAGAGCAGGTCTGCACAACTTTAAAATTAAGTCGACAACATCTAATTGCCAGACATAATGAGGGGGAAATTTTTAGGCCTATACCTCGAAAAACTGAATTTCACACCCATACCAAACATATCAAAAAAAATTCCAAAAAAAGTTGGGATCCTCTCCCAAAATCATACTACGTGCCACAAAAAGCCTTCTCACCTATAACATTCACTCATTTTTCCACCTCACCCATGCTATTTGTGTTTTTGGAAACACTGCAGCAAAACACCTAAAAACCCAAAAAAACTCAACAAAAAACTGCAATAAAATAACATAAATTCCCCTCCTGGCAACCACCCTCCCCCTCTTCAAAGATCTAAAATACCCCCGTTCAGAACACCACACTTATACTGTGCAAATTTCATATACAGGGCCTAAATTTTAATATTTAACCTTTTACCCAAAAAGCTTTCTTGGGATTGTGACAGGACCGACAGGCACAACACCAACTCAAACATCTCTGAATTCCCCCGGGCCGACTAAACCTTTACAAAAACTCAATGTTGTCAAAGGGCCCCAAAATCTGGAAAACACTACCTGAAAACCAGAACAGCAGACACATTTATCACCTTCAAAACTACTTAGAAAACATCTTATCTCCCTGATACACCCCATCAACTAACTACATAAAAACCACCTGGTGGTCCACATTTACACTCACTCACTCACCCATTTGACTATAAGCACAGAAATATGTATCCTAATCTTAAAATAGTGATTCCTAACTAGTCATAAGTTTGCCTGTGATACTCCAATATAGAAACTATGTATTGTGCCAAAACAAAAGCATTCACATTGCTAAACTCACAAACTAGTATTTGTCACTTAGTATTTAGTCAACTTACTCCACAATTTGTTATAATTTAGGGTTAAGAACTAATCTAAGTTTGCCCGAAATGCCTAGCCATGCTAGGTGTTCTAGTGGCCCCCTCTGTATTTAGTATTTTACTACATGTAAACCACACAATAACCAAAATCTGTAAACCCTGCATTGTAATCCTTATAGAGAATAAACCTTGATTTGATTTGAAAAATAAAGAAAAAAACTAGTTCCAATTTAACCTTGAGTACAGGTAACATCTCAAAGAATCTGATATTTCATTTCCTTGCCTTCAATCCTGCAAAATCATCTATCACATCAAAATCAATTATTTTTCCTATATAGGCCTATTTGTATTCTGCAGTCCTATAATAGGCTATATAAAAACGAAGGATTTTTCTCTTAGGTTGCTGCAGTATGGTTTTGGTCATTAGTGTTACCTTCTTTAGAGGCTCTATGGTGTCACCCCTTAAATGGTGTCACCCAGGGTGGCCCGCCTCCCCTGCGCCCCCCCTTACAATGCCCCTGTTCTCCCCTACCCCAGAGAATTCTCTCCCTACCTCACAGAACACTTTCCTTAACAAAAGCTTTGCTCCCTAATAATAATAATAATAAATAATAATTTTATTTACTACAAGCACATGTAAAAGTTATACAGGCCTAGTTGACATCAATGGCATACTACCATATAGAAAGCCCCTTATGCTGAGCATTTCGGGCAAATTAGGTCAGTGTCCCAGGATGCGATCCACACCAGTCGACTAACACCCAAGTACCCATTTTACTGATGGGTGAGCATAGACAACAGGTGTAAAGAAACACGCCCAATGTTTCTACCCTGGCTGGGAATCGAACCCAGACCCTCACTGTGTGAAGCGAGAGCTTTAGCCACCAGAGCCCTACAATAAAAACAAAATTGTTGTTCAAAAGAAAACAGCAGTTCACCAAGTGTACATCGACAAAGCTGAGATGCAAAAAGAATAAGCTTACACCTCAATACATAAGCTTATAAAAATAAGTTTATGTATTGTTGAGTAAAGCATAGAGAGGATAAATAAAATATACAATACTGGGTATGGTACGAATTGAATTGAAAACACCAAAATGGTGCCTCTTTCATTTCCAATTTGTGGGCAAGTTATAAATAAAGTTAATATCTCACCATTGCTTTAATGCCCTCTGGGTACATGAATCTGTTGTAAAGTGTGTCTACTGTGTCATTAGGATCAATGTCCACCTCCCTCTGTAGAAGAATAGGTCCAGTATCCAGACCATCATCAGCCCAAAATATAGAAAATCCTCCTTTTTTATCTCCACACATCAGGGTCCTGCAAATAATACAATCAATGTAAATGCAGATAAAAATTATATCACACTTTAATAAAATTTAAGTACAGTTCCTTGTCAATGACAATGATATAGCATGACACACACAGGGTGACTGATATCACAATTACTAAAATCATGAGGAAGCACTAAACCCATATGAAAAGTAAAAGGTCATCTAAGGTAAGAATAGCTAGAACTCCTCACATCAAAAGCACTTCACCAGTATCAAGGTATCCCCTATACCTTGGAAATATGGTACGCAAGTTTTTAATTCAAAATAATGTATAGACTACTGCCAGGACTGATCATATGCTATACATTAAAGATGAAGAAAAGCATAAATAATTTATACATTTTAGAGGTAATTAATAAACTGGGAATAGAAGTAATTATCACACTGAAGCTTAAAGAGAAAGCAATTAGTTAATATGCTTGGCATGAGACCATGTTTACCAGTTTATAGAAGATGCACCACGATGGCGAGGCAGGATGGATGGGTGGTAGCAAATAGATTTGTTCTTGGGATGGTTGATTACCTGCAGATCACAAAATTGCTAAATGTATTGTACCTTCTAAGCAACATATGTACCAGTGACCCACAAACACAATAACTAAGACATACACCATAACCAAATAAATATAACTACAATGTTATGGGTAAATAAATTTACACTACGATAGCAGGGATGGAAACCTAGCAGCGTCAATATCGTTTACTGTACAATAACAATTATTGTAATAGGCTCTAAAAATTCTAACTAAATGCAATGAATTCAAATTTTCTAATACTGTACAAAATAACAAAAGTGCAATTTGACCACAATAAAGAACTAAAGTCAAAATATTGTTGCTGGAACAATCCACAACTAACCCACAATTTGAAGATTATGAAGTTATGATTGTAAGTGTAAAAAAAAATAGTGAATTGTCTGTCTTAAAGAATATGACTGATAGAACATGAAAGTGCCCAGAATATATTTCACTTTCACTGTGCTCAAACTGCAAACTGTTTGTGTATTATACACAAGCTAGAAACATACCTCCATAGGAATAAACTGACTGCAGAAAGGCATCACGTTGAGTTCAGGGTCTACTGACAAGTACTGTTCTAATACTTCTGGAAGAATTACACCTTTCTTTCTCCAAGACTTGAATTTGAAAACTTTAACATCATCAGCAGCTGCCATTGATGCTGTGTTAAAGAAACATTAGTATATGATAGCAATAGAGTACTTGGAAACGAGGTATGAATGCATTGTGTACAAGTTAGCACTTTACAATCTGTATTACCAGAAGTTTCTTTATACTATTTATTACAGAAAGCATTCATAAAGAAAAGATGCCCTTGTACTATGGGGAGCTATTAATGCCTAGTTATATTAAAGCTAAATTAGAGCTCATATAGTATGTAAAAGAATATAATATGGATTGTTGCCCTTTCAAGTCTGATGCCTCAAGTTGTATTAACTTAGAAAATTGGGCAAGTAAGATATATGCATAGGCCATGTGACTCAAAAGAAAAAAATATAGTACAGGTATATGCAATGGTATCTTGAACAAAATAGTATCAGATAAGGATGATTATGAAGGATGATGAAAACATATTGCACACTCAGGTTCTCAGAAAGTGCAAGGACTGCACTAAAAAGCATGGAAATTTCAGAAATGCACAAATCATACAAACCACAAAGATCCAGGCATAATAACTTAAATGTAATTTAAGAAGGAATACCGTGTTAATGGGGACATCCCATGCATTATTTAGTAGTAAAAGCTTAATCTTAGGTCTCAATCAATCCTAATTTTTTGTGGAGTTTTAAATTTCCAGTGAATACATATTTCTATAAAGGAAGAACCTGCTTATACAGCAGGTTAGGTTTCGAGCTACCACCGTAAAGTGAAACACAACCTTTTGTCACTTTCAAATACACTTAAAAACCTGAGATGTTTACACTATCCTATATTAGGTGAGCAATAGAACAAGGCCTAAAAAGTGCATATACAGTACACATATTACTTTTATTTTATCAAACTGGCCATATTCCACCGAGGCAGGGTGACCTAAAAAGAAAAACAAATTCAATTCAATTCAAGTTTATTGTCTATAAGGGTTACAATGTGGGGTTTACAGGTTTTGGGTATTGTGTGGTTTACATGTTATAAAATACTAATTACAGAGGGGCCCACTAGGACACCTAGCATGGCTAGGCATTTTGAGCAGACTTAGATTAATTCTTAACATTAAATCCTTACAGATTATGGTATTAAGGCTAAGTGACTACATCATAATTTGTGAGTTTAGCAATGTGAATGCTTTTGTTTTGGCACAATACAAGGTGTCTATATTGGAGTATCATAGGCAAACTTATGACTAGTTAGGATTTATTATTTTAAGATTAAGATTAGTATTTCTGGGTTTATAGTCAGTGGGTGAGTGAGTAATTGTGAACCACCAGGTGGTTATCATGTAGTTAGTTGTCGGGGTGGATCAGGGAGATAAGATGTTTTCTAACTGTAGTTTTGAAAGTGATGAATGTGTCTGCAGTTCTAGAGTTTTCAGGTAGGGTGTTCCAGATTTTAGGTCCTTTGAAATACATTGAATTTTTGTAAAGGTTTAGTCGAACACGGGGAATGTCAGAGATGTTTGTGTCTGGTGTTATGCCTGTGGATCCTGTCACAACTATCAAGAAAGCATTTTAGGTCAAGGTTAATACTGGAATTTAAGGTCCTGTAGATATAGATTGCATAGTAGTAAGTGTGGATGTTCTGAACAGGGAGTAAGTTTAGATCTATGAAGAGTGGGGGGGTGTGTTGCCAGGGATGGGATTTAGTGATTATTCTTACTGACCTTAAAATATTTTTGTACTTAGCTTACAGTGTGTGATGAATATATTTATTTATCCATGGGGAAGTGGAATAGAATTCTTCATCCGTAAGCCATGCGTGTCGTAAGAGGCGACTAAAATGCCGGGAGCAAGGGGCTGAACCCCTTCTCCAGTATATATTACTAAATATAAAAGGAGAAACTTTCGTTTATCCGTTTGGGCCACCCCACCTCAGTGGGATATGGCTGGTACGTTGAAAGAAAAAAGAATATATTTATTGCAGATAGCCTGAATAAATAAAGAATGGATAAACATGTATGTAATTGAAAATCGCTGTATTAGCGAAATGCTGTAAAGCGAGGCCTTCCTATATAGTACCTTCTGGCAATGAGCACAGCTAAATGAATGGACCTAAATATGATTTAAAAAAAATAAAGCTTTTGTTTTATAGAAAGAATCTTTCTAGATACAGTGGACCCCCGGTTAACGATTTTAATCCGTGCAAGAGGGCTCATCGTTATGCGAAATAATCGTTATGCGAATGAATTTTCCCCATAAGAAATAATGGAAATAAAATTAATCCGTGCAAGACGCCCAAAAGTATGAAAAAATTTTTTTTTTACCACATGAAATGTTAATTTTAATACACACAAACTGAAAAAGGCATGCACAATTACATGACACTTACTTTTATTGAAGATCTGGTGATGATTGATGGGATGGGAGGAGGGGAGAGCATTATCTTCTTACTGTTTAGAAGGGGAATCCCCTTCCATTACGACTTGAGGTAGCAAGTCCTTTTCTGGGGTTACTTCCCTTCTTCTTTTAATGCCACTAGGACCAGCTTGAGAGTCACTGGACCTCTGTCGCACAACAAATCTGTCCATAGAGCTCTGTACCTCCCGTTCCTTCAAGACTTTCCTAAAATGGGCCATAACATTGTCATTGAAATAGTCACAAGCACGGCTTGCAACAGCTGTGTCAGGGTGATTTTCATCTATAAAGGTTTGCAGTTCAACCCACTCTGCACACATTTCCTTAATCTTTGAAGTAGGCACAATGGATTCCACAACTGGCATAGGCTTCTCAGGGTTAGCCCCAAACCCTTCAAAATCTTTCTTAATTTCCATACTAATTATTTTTTTTTTTTTATTATCACACCGGCCGATTCCCACCAAGGCAGGGTGGCCCGAAAAAGAAAAACTTTCACCATCTTCACTCCATCACTGTCTTGCCAGAAGGTGCTTTACACTACAGTTTTTAAACTGCAACATTAACAACCCCTCCTTCAGAGTGCAGGCACTGTACTTCCTCATCTCCAGGACTCAAGTCCGGCCTGCCGGTTCCCTGAATCCCTTCATAAATGTTACTTTGCTCACACCCAACAGCACGTCAAGTATTAAAAACCATTTGTCTCCATTCACTCCTATCAAACACGCTCACGCATGCCTGCTGGAAGTCCAAGCCCCTCGCACACAAAACCTCCTTTACCCCCTCCCTCCAACCCTTCCTAGGCCGACCCCTACCCGCCTTCCTTCCACTACAGACTGATACACTCTTGAAGTCATTCTGTTTCGCTCCAATTCTCTCTACATGTCCGAACCACCTCAACAACCTTCCTCAGCCCTCTGGACAACAGTTTTGGTAATCCCACACCTCCTCCTAACTTCCAAACTACGAATTCTCTGCATTATATTCACACCACACATTGCCCTCAGACATGACATCTCCACTGCCTCCAGCCTTCTCCTCGCTGCAACATTCATCACCCACGCTTCACACCCATATAAGAGCGTTGGTAAAAACTATACTCTCATACATTTCCCCTCTGTGCCTCCAAGGACAAAGTTCTTTGTCTCCACAGACTCCTAAGTGCACCACTCACTCTTTTCCCTCATTCAATTCTATGATTCACCTCATCTTTCATAGACCCATCGCTGACACGTCCACTCCCAAATATCTGAATACGTTCACCTCCTCCATACTCTCTCCCTCCAATCTGATATTCAATCTTTCATCACCAAATCTTTTTGTTATCCTCAAAACCTTACTCTTTCCTGTATTCACCTTTAATTTTCTTCTTTGCACACCCTACCAAATTCATCCCCCAATCTCTGCAACTTCTCTTCAGAATCTCCCAAGGCACAGTGTCATCAGCAAAGAGCAGCTGTGACAACTCCCACTTTGGGGTGTGTTTTCTTTATCTTTTAACTCCACCCCCCTCTTGCCAAGACCCTCGCATTTACTTCTCTTACAACCCATCTATAAATATATTAAACAACCACGGTGACATCACAACATCCTTGTCAAAGGGCCTACTTTTACTGGGAAAAAGTTTCCTTCTTTCCTACATACTCTAACTTGGGGCCTCACTATCCTGTAAAAACTCTTCCACTGCTTTCAGTAACCTACCTCCTACACCATACACTTGCAACATCTCCCACATTGCCCCCCTATCCACCCTGTCATACGCCTTTTCCAAAATCCATAAATCCCAACAAAGACCTCTTTAGCCTTATCTAAATACTGTTCACTTATATTTTCACTGTAAACACCTGGTCACACAACCCCTACCTTTCCTAAAGCCTCCTTGTTCATCTGCTATCCTATTCTCCGTCTTACTTTTAAATTTTCTTTCAATTATAACTCTACCATACACTTTACCAGGTAAAACTCAACAACTAACCCCCTATAATTTTTGCACTCTCTTTTTCCCCTTTGCCTTTATACAAAGGAACTATGCATGCTCTCTCCCAATCCCTAGGTACCTTACCCTCTTCCATACATTATTAAATAATTGCACCAACCACTCCAAAACTATATCCCCACCTGCTTTTAACATTTCTATCTTTATCCCATCAATCCCGGCTGCCTTACCCCCTTTCATTTTACCTACTGCCTCACGAACTTCCCCCACACTCACAACTGGCTCTTCCTCACTCCTACAAGATGTTATTCCTCCTTGCCCTATACACGAAATCACAGCTTCCCTATCTTCATCAACATTTAACAATTCCTCAAAATATTCCTTCCATCTTCCCAATACCTCTAACTCTCCATTTAATAACTTCCTCTCCTATTTTTAACTGACAAATCCATTTGTTCTCTAGGCTTTCTTAACTTGTTAATCTCCACTCCAAAATTTTTTTCTTTTTTTTCAACGAAATTTGTTGATAACATCTCACCCACTCTCTCATTTGCTCTCTTTTACATTGCTTCACCACTCTTTTAAAACTTCTACTCTTTTTCTCCATATACTCTTCCCCCTTGCATCACTTCTACTTTGTAAAAACTTCTCATATGCTAATTTTTTCCCCCTTACTACTCTCTTTACATCATCATTCCACAATCGCCCCTTTCTTCCCTCCTGCACCCACTTTCCTGTAACCCACAAAACTTCTGCTGAACACTCTAACACTACTTTTTTAAAAACCTACCCCATACCTCTTCGACCCCATTGCCTATCTCTCATTAGCCCATCTATCCTCCAATAGCTGTTTATATCTTACCCTAACTCCCTCCTCTTTTAGTTTATAAACCTTCACCTCTCTCTTCCCTGAGCTTCTATTTCCTTGTATCCCATCTACCTTTACTCTCAGGTAGCTAAAAACTAGAAAGTGATCTGATATATCTGTGGCCCCTCTATAAACATGTACATCCTGAATCTACTCAACATCTTTTATCTATCAATACATAATCCAACAAACTACTGTCATTTCGCCCTACATCATATCGTGTTACTTATTTATCCTCTTTTTCTTAAAATATGTATTACCTATAACTAAACCCTTTCATACAAAGTTCAATAAAGGGCTCCCATTATCATTTACACCTGGCACCCCAAACTTACCTACCACACCCTCTCTAAAAGTTCTCCTACTTTTAACATTCAAGTCCCCTACCACAATTTCTCTCTCACTTGGTTCAAAGGCTCCTATACATTCACTTAACATCTCCCAAAAACTCTCTCTCTCCTCTGCATTCCTCTCTTCTCCAGGTGCATACACGCTTATTATGACCCACTTCCTCTCGCATCCAACCTTTACTTTAATCCACATAATTCTTGAATTTACACATTCATATTCTCTTTTCTCCTTCCATAACTGATCATTTAACATTAACTGCTACCCCTTCCTTTGCTCTAACTCTCTCAGATACTCCAGATTTAATCCCATTTATTTCCCCCCACTGAAACTCTCCTACCCCCTTCAGCTTTGTTTCGCTTAGGGCCAGGACATCCAACTTCTTTTCATTCATAACATCAGCAATCATCTGTTTCTTGTCATCCGCACTACATCCACGCACATTTAAGCAACCCAGTTTTATAAAGTTTTTCTTCTTCTCTTTTTTAGTAATTGTATACAGGAGAAGGGGTTACTAGCCCATTGCTCCCGCATTTTAGTCGCCTCATACGACACGCATGGCTTACGGAGGAAAGATTCTTTTCCACTTCCCATGGACAATAGAAGAAATAAAAAAGAACAAGAGCTATTTAGAAAAAGGAGAAAAACCTAGATGTATGTATATATATATATGCATGTGCGTGTCTGTGAAGTGTGACCAAAGTGTAAGTAGGAGTAGCAAGATATCCCTGTTATCTTAGCGTGTTTATGAGACAGAAAAAGAAACCAGCAATCCTACCATCATGCAAAACAGTTACAGGTTTTTGTTTCACAGTCATCTGGCAGGACGGTAGTACTTCCCTGGGTGGTTGCTGTCTACCAACCTACTACCTACTACATACTAATTCTCACCCTTTTTACCACAGGGTTGGCACTAGAAGCTTTCTTGGGGCCCATGGTCACTTATTTTCCAGAAACAGCACCGAAACACTGTAATAAATACGAAATATTCCGAGTGTATGCTTGGATGTTACCGCGGAGGCTGGCTGGTAAACAATGGGACGGCCGGCACATGTGAGGGCACATTGGACACGTCTCGGACGAAAATCGGTAAGCGGGTTTTTAATCGGTATGCGCGGCAAAAATTTTGCGATAAAAGTAATCGTTATGCGGAAAAATCGCTATGTGATGCCATCGTTATGCGGGGGTCCACTGTATTTTACATTAAAGGAAAATCTCTATTTTGTAATTAAGAAAAACTGATGTTACTAAGGGAATCTTCCTATAATGTTCCATAAGAGAAGAAAATCACTAAAACAAAGTGTGGAATGACCCATATGAGTTAACAGCATTTTTATGATAATAAGTATAGTTACCAAGGGGATCTTCTCGGGTGCCCTGGTCAGGGACAGTGAACACACCCACAACTTTGTGTCCATCCTTCATCAGCTGCTTGTACACCTCCCCTGCGAACATCGACTGGCCAATGATAGCAACCCTCATCCTATCCAGTAAGCTCTGGAAAAACACAAGAGGAATAGTAGGTGTTACACACATTAGCTTATCCAATGTTATATCTAAGAATAATACCCTAGTGCATATATAATTAGGCTATTTCTAGACTTGTATATTAATTGCCACATGAATTAATCAACTACATAAATATAAATTATTTTAGAATGTATTATGTAAAACAAGTCAAAGAATGAGCAAGTTTTTATAGCAAATTTTGTTGAGAATAAGAAAATCTTGGGGAGAGATTAATAAAAGAAAGAATGGGGAGAAAATGGACTTGAAAGTTAAAAATGAGAGATGTTAAATCAGGAGAGATGTGTACTGGCATGATGGAGAGAATATTTTGAGCTGTTATATGTTGATATGAAAAAGAAGGAAGTGAGGAATAATACTGGGTAAGAATAAGGAACAGCCAGAGACAAATATGGAGAATTGCAAGAGTCAATGGACAGAATGAAAGGGATTAAGGCATTGTGGTATGTATAAACGGTTCACTTTTGCACACATCTTATTCATCTTCTTTGTATTGTATATATTCAATAGTGGGAGTTGCCATGCTTGCTCTCTGACAGTGACAGTTTTTTTTGGGATATCCTGAAGAGAAGTTGTAAAGGCTGGTGGAAAGTTCAGGTTAATGTGTACAAGAAGGAAATTAAAAGTGAACACAGAAAAGAGCAAGATGTTGAGAAACAAAAAGTTTTGGCAATGAAACATGGATATCAGATTAGGAGGGTGTACGAAGGCAAAAATATTTAGATATTTGAGATTGAATATGTTGGCAGACAGGTCTATGAAAAATAAGTTGAACCATAGCACAGAAGAGACAAAAAAAAAAAAATGAAGTTTTGTGGTATCCATGGAGAGAAAAAAATTAACAAAATGTAGTGGTACCAACCCTTTCCTATGAGTGTATGGCATGAGATTTAAATACTGCAATGAGGGGAATCCTGGAGGCTGTGAAGATTATTTTTTATTCATAAACACATCGGCTGATTCCCACCAAGGCAGGGTGGCCCGAAAAAGAAAAACTTTCATCATTCACTCTATCACTGTCTTGCCAGAGGGGTGCTTTACACTACAGTTATAAAATGCAACATTAACACCCCTCCTTCAGACTGTAGACACTGTACTTTCCCATCTCCAGGACTCAAGTCAGGCCTGCCGTTTCCCTGAAGCCCTTCGCAAATCTTACTTTGCTCACACTCCAACAGCGCATCAAGTATTAACAACCATTTGTCTCCATTCACTCCTATCAAATGCGCTCATGCACGCTTGCTGGAAGTCCAAGCCCTCACATACAAAACCTCCTTTACCCTCTCCCTCCAACCCTTCCTAGGCCGACCCCCTACCCCGCCTTCCCTCCACTACAGATTTATACACACTTGAAGTCATTCTGTTTTGTTCCATTCTCTCTACATGTCCGAACCAGCTCAACAGCCCCTCCTCAGTCCTCTGGATAATAGTTTTGGTAATCCCACACCTTCTCCTAATTTCCAAACTACGAATTCTCTGCATTATATTCACACCACACATTGCCCTCAGACATGACATCTCCACTGCCTCCAGCCTTCTCCTCGTTGCAACATTCATCACCCATGCTTCACACACATACAAGATTGTTGGTACAACTATACTCTCACACATTCCTCTCTTTGCTTCCACAGACAAAGTTCTTTGTCTTCACAGACTCCTAAGTGCACCACTTATCCTTTTCCCCTCATCAATTCTTTGATTCACCTCATCCTTCACAGATCCATCTGCTGACATGTCCACTCCTAAATATCTGAATACATTCACTTCCTCCATACTCTCTCCCTCCATTCTGATATCCAATCTTTTGTCACCTAATCTTTTTGTTATCCTCATAACCTTACTCTTTCCTATATTCACTTTTAATTTTCTTCTTTTACATACCCTACCAAATTCCTCCACCAAACTCTGCAACTTCTCTTCAGAATCTTCCAAAAGCACCGTGACATCAGCAAAGAGCAACTGTGACAACTCCCACTTTATGTTAGATTGTTTATCTTTTAACTCCACACCTCTTGCCAAGACCCTAGCATTCACTTCTCTTACAACCCCATCTATAAATATATTGAACAACCACAGTGACATCACTCATCCTTGTCTAAGGCATACTTTTACTGGGAAATAATCTCCCTCTCTCCTACATACTCTAACCTGAGCCTCACTATCCTCGTAAAAACTCTTCACTGCTCTCAGTAACCAATCTCCTATACCATACACCTGCAACATCTGCCACATTGCCCCCCTATCCACCCTGTCATATGCCTTTTCCAAATCCATAAATGCCACAAAACCCTCTTTACCCTTATCTAAATACTATTCACCTATATGTTTCACTGTAAACACTTGGTCTACACACCCCCTACCTTTCCTAAAGCCTCCTTGTTCATCTGGTATCCTACTCTCTGTCTTACTCTTAATTCTTTCAATAATAACTACCATACACTTTACCAGGTATACTCAACAGACTTATTCTCCGACAATTTTTGCACTCTCTTTTGTCCCCTTTGCCTTTATACAAAGGAACTATGCATGCTCTCTGCCAATCCCTAGGTACCTTACCCTCTTCTATACATTTATTAAATAATAGCATCAACCACTCCAAAACTATATCCCCTCCTGCTCTTAATATTTATTTATTTATTATTATTTGGACATGATACATAGTTGTACAAAAGAAATACAGTGGTTGACTGTACATACCAAAAGCCCCTTGTATGCATAGGATTGTGGGCAGGCTTAAAATTAACTTAAGATTAACAAAGCAATTATATATTCTGTGGTAAAAATACAGTAAACATATTACAACATGAAGTACAAATGAGTATTTCAAATAAGAGGCTTTACAGTTGTACAAATTTGTAGCACCTTTGATGAGTTACTGAGTATTCAAAAGAATGGAGTATTCTATTCAAAGTTTATTCTCTATAAAGATTACAATGTTGAATTTACAGAAGTTGGTTGTTGTGTGGTTTACATGTAGTTAAATAATGATTACAGAGTGTACCACTAGAACGCCTAGCATGGCTAGGCATTTCGGGCAGACTTAGTTTAATTCTTTATTTTAAAATATTACAAATTATGAGGTAAGTTGGTATTATGGCTAAGTGACTAAATACTAGTTTGTGAGTTTAGCAATGTGAATGCTTTTGTTTTGGCACAGTACATAGTTTCAGCATTGTAGTATCATAGGATTCATTATTTTAAGATTGAGATTAATATTTCTGTTTATGGTCAAATGGGTGAGTGAGTGTAAGTATGAACCACCAAGTGGTATTCGTGTAGTTAGTTGATGGGGTTTATCAGGGAGATAAGATGTTTTCTAATGGTAGTTTTGAAGGTGATGAATGTGTCTGCAGTTCTAGAGTTCTCAGGTAGGGTGTTCCAGATTTTAGGGCCTTTGACATACATTGAATTTTTGTAAATGTTTAGTCGGACATGGGGAATGTCGTAGAGATGTTTGTGTCTGGTGTTATGCCTGTGGGTTCTGTCACAACTATCAAGAAAGTGTTTTAGGTCAAGGTTGATATGTGGAGTTTAAGGTCCTGTAGATGTAGATTGCACAGTAGTAAGTGTGGATGTACTGAACAGGGAGTAAGTTTAGATCTATGAAGAGTGGGGGGGTGTGTTGCCAGGGATGGGATTTAGTGATTATTCTTACTGCAGCTTTTTGTTGGGTTATTATTGGCTTTAGGTGTGTTGCTGCAGTTGATCCCCAAGCACAAATAGCAATATTAGGTAATGTAATTACAAAACACAGTTTGATAAGGTCACAGGTTATACATTTATGAAATACAGTTAATCAGTATTTATTTAGTTGTGGGTGAGTAAGTGGTTTTTAAGAAGAGGCTTGAATTGATAAACAAACAGTTTTTCTTTTATATTCACAGGTAATGAATTCCAGATTTTTGGGCCTTTTATGTGCATTGCATTTTTACATAGTGTGAGGTGGACATAAGGAACATCAAAGAGTGATCTGTGCCTTGTGTTGTGGTCATGTGTTCTGTTGAGGTTGGTAAGGAGAAGTTTGAGGGGAGGGTTTATATCTGAGTTAAGTGTTCTATGTATGTAGTAGGTACAATAATAAGTATGGATGTTTTGTACGGTGCGTAAGTTTAGAGTTTTGAATATTGGTGGAGTATGCTGCCTGTAGTGGGAATTTATCATTCTGACTGCAGCCTTTTGTTGGGTAATTAATGATGTGAGATGGTTTATGGTTGTTGAGCTCCAAGCACAAATTCCATAGGTGAGATAGGGGTAAACGAGTGAGTGATGAAGGGCCAGGAGGGCTGACTGTGGAACATAGTACCGTATCTTCGATAGTATGCCTACGGTCTTGGAAATTTTCTTGGAAATGTGTTGTATGTGTGTTTGAAATTTGAGTCTATTATCGAGGTGGATTCCTAAGAATTTTCCCTCTGAGCTTTGTGATAGGTGATCCATTTATCATTATGTTAAGAGGGACATCTGTGGCTCTGTTTCCAAACTGTATGAAGTAGGTTTTGTCAATACTGAGAGTAAGTTTGTTAATCATCATCCAGGTAAATATTTTCTATAATTCGGTATTTACAGTACTGGGTAGCATGACTGGGCTTGGGTGAGAGAAGATGTATGTAGTGTCATCTGCAAATAGTGGGGGTTTGAGTAGTTGCGATGAATTTGGTAGGTCGTTTATGTAAATGAGAAAGAGAAAAGGGCCAAGGACACTTTCCTGTGAGACACCAACTGTAATTGGCTGTGTGGAAGAGTTTGTTTCATTTGTGTACACATATTGGCTTCTGTTGCTAAGGTATGACTTTAGGTAATTGAGGGAGTGCCCTCCTATACCATAGTGAGACAATTTTATGTGCAGCAAATCATGGTCAACTGTATCAAAAGCTTTACATAAATCAACGAAGATCCCCAATGGGATTTCTTTTCTCTCGAGTGCAGTGTATATTTGTTCTAGCATGTGTATAATAGCATCATTCGTATTT